AAAAAAAAAAAAAAAAAAAAAAAAAAAAAAATCTGGGGAAAAAAACCCCAAAAAAGCAACAACAACAACAAAAAAACCCCAGCTGTTAGCATTTAGAGGAAATGAAGGCAGAAAAAAACTGGAATGTCTTGCTTAATGCCATACACTGACTAGTTAAGTGTAAAGGAGTTAGAGCAAAAGTAGAAATCATATTGAACAGGAAGCATCAGTCTTGGGCTACAATTGTGGATAAGGCTTTCTGAAACAACTGATCCCTCCCAAAAAACTCCACTCACTTAAAAATAAAAGGCTATTTTACTCAGGTAGATCGGTGTCAGAGATTTTAATGATGACTGAAGCTTTGCCCACATGAAGCAAACTCTCTGGGTCTCTAAGGTAGATTCTCTGGCAACTCATTAGGTCTGAGTGTCTAGAGAACTCTGTTATTTCCACTGCATTATTAGAGCTTATTTGCTATATGAATTCTTTGGTGTCTAATAAGAGCTGAACTTACACGGAAGGGCCTTCCACACTCATCACATTCATAGGGCTTTTCACCTGTGTGGATTCTCTGATGCTGAATAAGGCCTGTGCGCCCACTGAAATCTTTGCCACATTCTTTACATTTATAGGGTTTCACTCCAGTGTGGACCCTATGATGTCCAATAAGATGTGAGTGTTGAGTGAAGGCTTTTCCACACTCATTGCATTTATAGGGCTTCTCTCCAGTGTGAGTTCTTCTGTGTTTACTAAGGTCTGAGCTACGGCTGAAACTTTTTCCACATTCATTGCATTTATATTGTCTTCTTTCCCTCTGTTGCCATTCTAATCTGCTCTCACTTTCAATAGTGTCTTTGGGTTCAGGATGCTGAGGAATGCCTTCATTAAGCCTGTCCTCGGGCGTATCCTCCTTTTGGGATGACTCTTCATTCTCAATCCTGGTTTTAGCACCTGTAACAGTACACAAACAGGTCCTATTCGAGGTTTGAGAAGCAAAAATCCTATGGAAAAGAGAACACAAACATTACAAATGCATGACAAAATAATAAGTCATAACAAATGTATTGCCCCCATTTGGTATCATCATAACATGGTCACAATGCAGGAAAGAAGAGGCTAGTAAAGAAGATAGCAGCAGGATAAGTTATTTATTTTGTCGTACCCAAGATGGAACTCAGAGGCTTCCCAATGAGTTATATCCCCAGCCTTTCTTAATTTTTAAATTTTGAGACAAGCTCTTGCTGAATTGTTAAGTTGCCCAAGATGGGTTTAAACTTGTTCATCTTCCTCAGCCTTGTAGAGTGCTGGGATTACAGGTGTGTGCTACCACGCCTGGCCTAGGATAAGCTATTTGAGAGTAGATGGAAAGGAAAAGGCAAGTGTAGATTAAAGAGACTACTTGCAATCCTGCACAAAAGCAGAGTGGTAAGTAGGAAGCTGTAAGTGTACCACAGCTAATGAGGAATAGATGGAGACTGGAGAACAGAGATGAGGAGGGAGGTAAAAGTTCAGAGAAACATAGGCGGTAACTCAGAGTGAAAGTGACTGGAGAGGATAATAAGGTTTAGCGTCTGAGGGGAAGATAGTGAACAAGAGCCATCTGAGGAGGGCAGCACGTGTGGAAGCTGGAAGCAGACTGAGTACATGTAGGTCAGGGTATATAGGAGAGAAATAAATGGGAAATGGCAGTGGGCTGCCTGGTGTATGTGCTGGGTTGAGTTTATTTCCCATGAAACTGATATCCTTTTTATCATCTTCTGTCTAAATCCTAGCTTGGTAGTTTCTAACTTTATTATGCTTCGGGATTAAATGAGTTGCTTATTAGAACACAGAATACTACACCCTCGTACCATCTCCAAACTCACGGAACACAACTGTGCAACAATCACCAGTTATACTCTTTAGTAGTTTCTTCATGTAGCATGACAGAAGCAGCAGCAAGAATGACTGGAACACTGAACTGGTGGGCTGGGTGTGGAAAGCACTGGCTCTGGCCTCAGTGAATTTCATGAATGAATTCCATCCATCAGTGCCATCACCAACCATCTTTTCTACCAAGTCGTCCTCATCTTACCTTCTTCCCTACAATTATTATTTTGCCCTAAAGCAACACAGCTTTATTCCAGAATAACCTGGAAGCTAGAAGTCTGCAATGGAGGTGCTGGCAGGACCATCCTTGCGTACTCTGGAATGTACGGGAGAATTGTTCCTTGCCTCTTTTAAGCCTTTGGTAATCTAGGAATTTATTGGCTTGTGGCAGTGTGACTTTGTTCTTTATCTCTGTTCACAGGGTGTCTTCTCCCGGTGTGTGTCTCCAGAATCCCTACAGTTATTTTTTTTATTAGGAAATGATCTTCCTGAAAGTTTTGTTATTATTATTATTTTTTTTGGTACCAGGGACTGAACTCTGGACCTTGTGCTTGCGAGGCAGGCGGTGGAACTATTGAGCTAAATCTCTAGCCCATGAAAGTTTTGTTATTGTTCTGGAATCTAAATGCCATATTATCCCTGGCTAGAAATTATGAGGACTAGATTAGAACCATGAATAATCAGTTGAGGTAATGCATGACAAAGATTTAGAAAAGCATAATATGTGGACAGAATTATCACTAACTCAGTAAGGTAGTAGTTATTGGACAAATAAATAATGTAAATCATAAACATTCCCATACTAGAAAAAAAATGTTCTGAAACATTAGTATATTGGCTCAGTGTATTTTATATACAAAAACTCACTTGGCTTTCCTGTAAGTTATCAATGAAGATGAATTTTAAAAAAACATATAAGGAAACACCATCAATGGTCAGTTCATTGTCTTGAGTAATCTGCCAATCCTCAGGCTATTTCTTTTTTTCTTTTTTTTTTGAGACAGGGTCTTACTATGTAGTTGAGACTGAACTGGAACTCACTATGTAGCCCAGGCTGGTCTCGAATTCACAGGGATCCTCCTGCCTCAGCCTCCCGAGTGCTGGGATTACAGGCATGCGCAGCCACACCTGGCTCTCACGATGTTTCTTTCTCATAACTTAAGAAGAAAGATCTCTTACTAGGACTTTTGTTTTGTTTTTTTGGTACTGGGGATCGAACTCAGGCCCTTGCTGCTTGCAAGGCAGGCGTCAGAACCACTGAGCTAAATCCCCACCTTCTTACTAGGATTTTGAATAATTTTTTTAAAAATGAGGTCAATTTTCCTTGATTGGCAATCAAATTATAACCTTTTCCCTTAGGTCTGTAATCAAATATATGTAAATAATGTACAGAAACTGTCAAATGTGAACTTTTCTCATTTCAGAAACCTGGAGACTACTTCTCAGCCAAATGAATTTTAGGCCTTGTTTATATATCTCTTCAAAGTGTTAACTTGTTCTAGGCTCATAGGATTCTAGGAGAAATTGTACTAGAACTGTCAAAATGAGATTTGGCTTTAGTATATTCTGCTAGGATATTTTTTCTGATGTTATCTTGGCACATGTAATAACTAAAGTCTTTATCAGATATAGTTCCAGCACTTCTGGTTACTGAGATGAAGATAAGTCCACAGAGACCATTTGGTTACCATGTATATTAGCTGTTTAACAACAGTTTAGGGGAAAAGTGGTGGCTTCTTCAGAAAGGAAGTGCAAGAGAGAAGAGAGAGAGAAACACACAGACAGGAAGAGAGAAGAAAGAGGGAGAAAAGAGAAGAGAGGGAGAAAAGAAAAGAGGAAGAGGGGGAGACAGAGGAAGAGAGATGAACAAAGGAGGGGAGAGAGGAAAAGAAGAGAAAAGAGGTAAAGAGGGAGAGAGGAAGAGGAGAAGAGACAGAGAAGGGGGAAGAGGGGGGAAGGAGGAAGAGTGGAACTATTGCCTCACTTGTGATCATGTGACACTGGCATCGTGTACCCCTATAACAAGACATCATCTGCTTATCCAGTTAAAATTTATTAGAAATGTTTGCTCTTCTTGAGGAACACTCACAGAACAAGTTACTCACAATCCAACATTTTACTGTGCTTTAAAATGTGTTACAAAGAATTATTAAGGTATTTAGATGTCCAAGTTCTTCAGTCATAGGTAAAGATCATTCTGTATTAGGTGATTAGATTCTCCTCACCCTAGCCAACAGTCACTACTAATACTGTCTTGCTGATATGGACATATTTAAAAAATTTATGAAAAAAATAAAATTTCATAACAAAATGAGAATGGATACATTTAAAAAGTAAAAAGTAATGTAAAATGTATGAAATGAAACCCATACTTTGTACAATATGCAGTAATTATAATAAAAAATACTGCATTAAAAACAATGTTTTTCTTTTCAACAGTAACTTTATATTTAAAAAATAAAGCTTTTGGTACATTATTATTTTGGTTTAAAATGTTTCTGTGGGGACTAGCAGGTAGGGCCTCAGGTTCTGACTGTAATCTCAGTTGTGTCTGTAACTCGTTATGGAAACCTAGACAAGCCACTGTGGGGTAGATCTCTTCAATTGCAAAATGAGGGCTTGTACCAGGTATTATATACTTTTAAGAAAGTTGAAAGACACTTCTTAAAATGTGTGTTCTGTAATTTCTGCAGGATCTTTTGGTTTAATTTTGCCTTTGTATATTTTGCTGGGAAGTGTGGTGGTGGCAAAGAACATAAAAGTTCTGAAAGGTTGCTGGTGGTGTACCTAGGAAGTCATAGCCACTGGTCCTTGTAGACACAGCAGACTTTCTTCCTAAGACTTCTCAGACCTCATAGGACAGCTAGGTTTCCTGAAGCTTCCTACTTTTACCTATATAGTATTCCCCGAAGGGTCATTTTGGTTGCGGTATATGTGCAAGTCTCTTCAATTTCACATGGAGGAACAGTGTTTTTTCCTGGACTTAAGCTAACAGAAAGTGAAGTGGAAGCAGTCCAGAAGTGTTTGTAGAAGCAAATTTTAGGTTTGGATAACCCAGTAGTCATCATTAGCAATTCTGTGTTCTCTATAGTGAGATTTACTGTAACTGTTAAATTATTATTGTGAACTATTTATGAACATGTCCTGTCTTCTACCAAATTCTATGCTCCTCCACAGTAAAGAAGCAAAACATCCTTCCTAAAGTTTATTAAGATGGTCTATACCTTTTGACTTTTACCCCCTTTCCCCCAAAGTACTCTAGCCAAGATTATCTTTAACTTCTAACCCTAAATTCAGTGGATCTTACCAGTCTTCACTTTATGCTCTGTTTCACTGGCTGTGCTGATCTTTCCTCCTAGCTGATAACCCCTTGCCTGGCTTCTGCAAATCATGTGCTGCTGTCTTAAAGAGTCCCTGCTCTTTCTCCTTCATAGAATCCTCTTTTTCTACTCAAACTTTAAATAGGTACTGCGCCTCAAGATTCTGCATGTGGCTGGCTCTCTTCTTTTTACTTTATGTGTCTATGAAGAAGAAACCACATCTATAGCCATATCCTCTAACATTTACTGAGGAAGGACTTCCTCACAACTCTGATAAATTTAGAGCTATATTGCAAACTACCTTGGCTTCTAGATTTTATGTACTTGGATGGTCCACAGACACTACAAATTCACATGTATTAAAATTGGAATCACCACCTCTAACTCTTCTTCACATATGGGCACATCCCTCTTCTGATTTTCCTTTCAACTAGTGGTGCCAATACCCACCCAGCTGCTTAAGTCACAAACTCAGATTGTATTAAAATTACCCTCGCGGCTGGGCATTGCGGCGCATGCCTGTAATCCCAGCACTTGGGAGGCTGAAGCAGGAGGATTGCCATGAGTTTGAGGCCTGCCTGGGTTATAGTGAGTTCAAGACCAGCCTGAACTACATAGCAAGACCCCATCTTTTATTAATTAATTAATTAATTTATTTATTTATTGGTACTGGGGATTGGTGGAACCACTGAGCTAAATCCCTGGCCCAAGACCTCATTTGCTTTGATGATAATGATTCCAAAACATCATAATAAGATTGTGAGATTTTATACAGAAGGAATACAACTAACATAACTGAAAGCAAAATAAGTACTCATTTGAATGAAGAAAGAGTTTCATAAAAAAAAAAAAAAAAAAAAATTACCTTCCCTTTATCTAATCAGATCTATTCATTCTCTCTTGAACTTTCCACTTCTCCAGCCTTATTCCTGCTCTACTCTTTCTCCTAACCCTCTTGTTTTCACATTTTCTCCATATTATAGTTCTATGTTCATTCAATTGAAGACTTGGAAAATAGAGAAAAAGAAAGTAAGTCACTTATGATTTCATAATCCTGAAATGACTGACTACATTTGGAGATATCCCTCCAATCTTTGTTCTGTTATATAAGAACTTTAAAAAAAATGGAATCATCAGTGTTACCCACTCTTCTATTTAAAATAATGTAACAGATCTCCACCTGATAGGTTGAGGTATTGTTTTTGCAGCATAGTTTTCATGACTCTTCTTTGATCCTCCCTTTCACAACATCCTTTGTATCAAAATCAAACTCAGAACAGTTGCTTTTAGAATCAGTTATGCTCATGTATTTATTCCCTGTTCTGTCTGCTTATAACGTCCCTCCTTCCCAGTTCCACCTTTCTGAGCATCATAGCTGAAGCAAAACAACTCTGTGATACAGGCCCACCACAGGGAAAGTGGTGCCTTTTTCTGTAGCTCACAACATATCTTTAGTGCAATTATTACTATCATATCATGACCGCTTACTTTCTTGCTTCTTGAAGAGAAGTAACTCAAGTGTCTTATTTTTTGATTCCTTATATAACATGGTGTCTGGTATATTGATGCTGCTTGATGAAAATTCAGTAATGAACAGAACGGGGTTATGAGCTTCATGTCAAAAACCATGTAGTGACCAGCATTTTAGCTCTAGAGTTAAAACACTGGAAGATTCTTTTATAAGTAACTGCATGTCACCTTGTCTAGATAGCTAGAAACATAACAAAGTGGGAATATCTTAGTTCAAAATGATTTTTCAGATTAGACAAATCACTTAGTTTGGATCCTAGAGAATGACAGTGTTGTACTGGTTAAACTGCATGTCACCTTGTCTAGATAGCTAGAAACATAACAAAGTGGGAATATCTTAGTTCAAAATGATTTTTCAGATTAGACAAATCACTTAGTTTGGATCCTAGAGAATGATAGTGTTGTACTGGTTAAATTTAAGTATTAAAAATCCGAAGTAGGCCACAATATAAGATACAGGCAGAAGGGTTATGGATAGACAAGACTTTAGTGAAAGCACTGGAATCACAGAAAAGGGTAGGGTTTGGACATATTGGGACTTAAACTCCACATATTTTCAGTGTAGTCTGGAGATACACTAGACACCTGCTTGGTATTTAGTGAACTTGAATGGAAATCAAACCCAGTCACTTTAATATGCAGATTAAAACAATACTCCTGAGCTGGGCAAGGTGGTGCACGCCTGTAATCCCAGCACTTGGGAGGCTGAGGCAGGGGGATCACTGTGAGTTCAAGACCAGTCTGGGCTACCTAGTGAGTCCCACGTCAGTCTCAACTACATAGTGAGACCTTGTCTCAAACAAACAAAAACCCAATAAACAAACAAAAAACAATATTCCTGTACTAACTGAGCCTTGCTGTCTTTTCCCTGCTTCTTTCAGCATGGTGGTGTTACAGATAAGTTGAAGTCCCAGTCCTGAGAGTGACTATATTTGAAGAGAGGACCTTCAATGAGCTAAATAAGGTTAAATGAAGTCATAAGGTAGTGATCTAATTCAATAGGTTGAGTATCCTCCTAAGAAGAGATACTGGAATGTATATGCACAAAGAAAGGGCCATATGGGAAGGCAGAGCGAGAAGAATGCAAGGCAAGGAAAGAGGCCTCATCAGAGACTAACCTGGTCTTGGACTTTCAGCCTTGAACTGTGAGCAAATAAACTTCTTTTGCTTAAGCCATCTGGTCTACAGTATTCTTTTATGGGAGATCTAGCCAACTAACACAGAGTGTCATAAATTCTCCAATCTCAAACTGGAAATTTTAGGGAATTTGAACTAGAATTATTAGATAATAACAGACAAAAGATAAGGTATTACCAAGTCGAATGAGTGTTTAACCTCATCCTCTATCCTTTGGACCAAACAGCATTTGTATACAGTGAAAAAATATAACTCATTCAGTGTTGGGGTAAGGGTGAAAAGATAAAATTCTCCATAGTTGAGGAAGAGGACAAGCAGGAGGAAGTCTTTAAAGGAGAAGATAAAAATGGGAATGTTTTCCACTACTATTGTTTGAATATAGTTTGTCCCCTCTGAAACTCATGTTGGCATTTCATCCCCATTTCATATACCTTACGGTATTAAAAGGGTGTATACCTAATCAGAGTATAGTGTTTAAAGATGGGGCCTTTGGAAGGTGATTAAAATAAAAGGTTGTCAGCCTGGAGCACCCATGACTGAATATTGCTGGCTTTAAAGAAAAGGATGGAGAGAGACCATAAAACACACATATACTTGTTACTTGATGTGTTACTCTGCTTCCTCGGCACTCTGCCAGTAAGATGCCATCAAAATATGCAGCCTTAGACCTTGGACCAGAACTGTGAGCCAAAAGTAAACTTTTCTTTATAACATACCCAGTCTGTGGTAATGAATTATAAGTGAGAGAAAACAGATGAAGACATCTTCTAACCTCCTCCATCATACACACAAAACTAGCTCCTTACCATTCTTTTGTAGTCTCCCATAATCCTGCTTCAGCTGGGTCTTACTGGGATGAAGTTGGACAGTCAGTGACTCATATGGCCTTCCCAAGGGGGCCAGCTTGTCCAAGAGTATATGCTGTCTTCCTGAATTGGCTGGGACCTGGGAACAATGAGGTATGCTTGGGCTTGTCAGATATTTTGTGGGAAGTGAAAGAACTTCAGATAAATGATCTAAAAAACATCTGCCAGGGGACAATTTTTCATTCAGTTGAAATGGCAATAATGATTAGGAGAAGGGCTTAATTGCTATACACCAGAGAGAAATTCTGTCTGTATTGATTCTGCAGAGGCCCAAGATCACAGAGTCTTGGGATGTGGAGATATACAGCTTCCAGCAATGGAAGCAATAATTCTAGACCCATGCTCTTTAATATAGAAGCAACAAGCAAATGTGGTTGAATTCTTGAACTGTGGTTAATATAAATGAAGACAGGCTGAGTATAAATTATATACCAAAGTTTGAAAGCTTAATACAAGCAAATTAAAATATTTTACATACTGACTATATAATTAAATATGTTGGGTTAAATAAAGTACATTTAATTTCACCTCTTTATTTTTAATAATAGGTCTCTGGGTAGAAAATTTAAATTACATATATAGTTTATGTTGTACTTCTGATGGACAGTGCTGTTTTACAGTATCCTTCACAGTGATATGAGTACTTCTTTTTTTTTTTGGTACTGGGGATCCAACTCAGGACCTTGGGCTTGTGAGGCAGGCCGTAGAACCACAAGCTAAATCCCCAGCCCGACCTGTGGAGTATCTTATGGAGTTGCCCAATTTATTTATTGGTAGCTCTGGATATTAGAAAAGTTTGTTTTCCTTGGATACCTATTTGCCTTCCTGTAACTTCCCACTGATCCTAGCCTTCCAAAATGAAAGAGTCTCCTCTTAGTTACATTTCAATTTTGACATTGGCAGTCACCTCCAGCCCTAAGCCTTGTTCTATAGGCTACACATTAAGTACTTTCAGGTATTTTTTTCATATGCCTTTTGTTTTGGCTTGGTCCTGACCACTTTCTGCCAAATGCCCACCCCATCACACCTGTTTTCGGGGCTCATCAAGCTCTCTTTCCAGATTCTCCAGCAGAGTCACCGCCTCCTCTCCAGTCTCTGGGTGGTGCGCTTGCACCCATGCTTGCAGGTCCCTAGGGAGAATGTTCAAGAACTGCTCCAGCACCAGCAGGTCTAGAATCTGCTCCTTGGTGTAGCATTCTGGCCTCAGCCATTGGCGACAAAGCGTCCAGAGTTGGGTAAAAGCTTCACGGGGGCCAGGTGTGTCCTGGTGGCTGAGACTTCTGAAGCGCTGCCTGTAGAATTCCCTCCTGTGAAGACCGCACTTCTGTGCACAGGGGTCCTGTCCCCACGAATGGCTCTCTGCCTTAACTGCAAGAGGTCTTTGTTCTTCAGATTCCAGGGCTGCAGCCATTCTGGCTTTGTCAGCAATTAATCTTCTATCTGGTTCCGACTGAAGAAGAACCTCTTAAGATCTTTCCTCAAAGACACTCCTAAGGCATAAAAAGTTGTCAACACAGAGAAATGACCAGAGCGAGTCCGAGAAAACCGGATGCAAAAAAGAACAGCGAGATGATCTGAATCTGTGTTCCACTGTGTAATTTAGAGGAGGATACTGATCTAGAGTTAGAGCTCCGTGTGACGTCTCCGGTTTCTCACAAATGCAAAGACAAGGTCTGCAGGGCCTGGCGGGGAGGCCGAGTGTGCACTGAATAACGCCGAGGGAGAAGAGGTCAGGGAAGGGGTCAAGTGGGTTCTCGCGGTCTCCCACTGGCAGGGAAGGCAGAAGGCTGACTGAGTCCTCTTACCCGGAACCCGGAAACGCTCACCTTGGCCGGGACCAGCCAACCAGGGGCGAACTCCGCCGCCGCCACCGTGCAGGCACTTCCGGCCGCTCTAGCACGCGCACTCGCTGGCCGCACCGCTGCCGGGTGACCAACTTCTCATCGCATTGCATCAGCGAGTCTTTGCACTGAAGCGAAATCCCCCGTCGAAATTTTTTTAAATTTAAGTATTGAATGATTAAGTAATGTTTCACCTAAATTTATTAAAAAGTGTAAGTGTCCCTCGATATCTAGTTTTACAAGTGTTTCTCGTGATAACTGAGGCACTATCCTGGGAACTGGGACAACTTTCAACAAAACAAAGCTCTTGCTTTCATGAAATTTGTGTGTGTGTGTGTATGTGTGTGTGTGTGTGTGTGTTTGTCCAGGAAACGGAGTATTTGGGTGAGGTAAGTGGTGTGATCTAAACAGGATACTCCGGGAGCACCTAGCTAGTCAGCTGCCATTTGAGCACAGCTGGAGGAGCTCAGGGAAGGCGCTCCAGGAGCAAAAGAGCTTGGAGGAAAGGGGTGACAGATGCAAAGGGCTGGAATGGACAGAACGGAGGATATGTACAGAGCAGAGTGGGTGACTGTTGGGAAGTCAGCAAAAGGCAGAGAAAGGCCTTGGTGAGGACAGGAATATTGTTGTCCCTCCCACCCCCCAAGTTAAGAAGCCATTTGGGGTTTCTGAGCACAGGAGTAACATGGGCATACTTAGGTACTGAAAAATATTATTCTGGGTGCTGTGTTAAAATACACATGCATGTGAAGAGATTTGCAGAAGGGCAGAGGCAGGGAGGCATGTTGAAAGCTGTGGCCTCATTGGCATACAGAGAGCCTTTAAAGAATATCCTAAACACATAAAATCAAAGCACCACAAAGAAAAAGATGATAGTGGTTTTGTAAAAATTTTTAGTTAAAAAAATCAAAACATGGGCAGGGGATTTAGCTCAGTGGTGCTGCAGCCTGCCTTGTAAGCACAAGGTCCTGAGTTCTGTTCCTGGTACAAACAAATAAAAAGCAAGCTAAAGTAAAATATACCACTACTGAAGAGACACGGGGCTGCTTTTTCTAATATACAAAGACTTCTTTTAAAAATATAAATATGCATAAGCCAATATGAAACCCGGCAATAAAGTAGGCACATATAGAACACAATAATAAGAAAATAACAAGTAGGAAAAGGTTCCCTAATAATTAAAGAATTTTTATAAAGATTGTGTTTTTTCCAGATTGCTAATGGTAAAACAGTGGACGATACTGGAGTGTGTAGAAATCCAGGCACATTGTTGTACGGTTAGAAAGAAAGATTAGTGGGGCTGGGGATTTGGCTCAGTGGTGCTGCTGCCTGCCTTGGAGGCACAAGCTCCTGAGTTTGATCCCCGGTATGCCCCCCCCCCAAATTAGTAAAATTAGTATATCCACATCCCTTGATGCAACAACTTAACTTCTTGGAATTATCCATTTAGAAATGCTTACACAAAGCACATGTACAGAGAAATATGGTTTGTTTAAGGAGGGAAATCTAAGTAACCCACGTTTATGAATTTAAATTTTTTATCTATTCATTAAAACCTCATTTTAAAAATTAAAAGATGCCAATGGTATATTTCACGTTATAAAATAGTATTTGGCCAAAAATTTGGCAGCATAATAATCTCATATGTGGTGCTAATAATCTTTTTCTTTTTTCTTTTTTGTGGTGCAAGGGTGAATGTGGAGCCTCATCCATACTATGCAAGAACTGTATCATGGGGCTACATCTCCAACCCCATAGTGATTATCACTTGGAGAAATATATAGAGATACTGCACTTACTAAGTTACCTTTTTATATTTCTATAGTTTAATTTTTTGCAAAATTTTCTAGTAGTACAAACAATACAATTTTTATAAAGAACCCAATTTATTCTTCATAACTTACATTCTTTTTTCATCAGTATTCCTTTTCTTGGGTCCTCCATGAAGGTGACTGAGCAGATCCTCCACAGGAGCAGTGGGCTGGGGACCTGCATAACGGCCTGGTGCTGTGCCACAAAGAGTTATCACCCTTCCTATAGGTGACAGCTGTAGGACCACTTGGAGCCCAGAACCCGGAGCTGAGCATACCCTCACTGTCCTCTAGGAAGTCGAATGAACCTTCCAACCTGGAAAGCACAGTGTGCAGAGACTCAAGGCACATGTGCAGAGTGTATACAGGATAAACCGGGTGTCCAGAGGACAAAAACTGACAGCATGTGTGCAAATATCTTGTCTCAGTCTTCATATTCTCTGAGACCAGAGTGGGAATCCTAGCCTGTTTCCTTGATCCTCCAGCATAAGCCCTGATACAGCTCCTTCAGATTGCCTCTTTGCAATTTCTGTCTCACACTGAGCACAAGAAACCAAGAGTAAGCTGGTAACACTAACTGTTGAGAGCTGGTAAGAGAGCTGTGCTTTGCCTTTTTGTGCTCAAGCTCACAAAGAGCACAAAATCCTCACCAGATTGGCTGTATCTAGAGAGGAGTACAGGGAAAAGCAGAAGACTTTTTTCCATTGTCCTCTGGGGCTTGTGTGGATGGGCACTGGACAGATTTGGGTCTGTTGTTATAGTTGCCTGATATTCTTGGAATTCCATTGTAGGGATTCTGAATCTCTAACAGTTGATGGAAGCCTTGATTGATACCACAGGCAGGAAGGGCACAATAACCCTGGGCCTCAGTACTAGTTTCTTGCACAGTGGGTCATTTGCTCCCTGGTGCCACACAACCCTGTGGGGTGGCCAATGCAGTGCTCAGGGGCTACTTCCAGCTGCTCAGCAAAGATGCTCTCAGTGGCATTCTTGCAGGCCTGGTAGATATAGTGCTACAGAGCTGGATGGCAAAGTAGATGTCAGATCTCAGAAAGTTGTGGATCCCACCATGATTTTGGAATGTTGGCTCATTAGTCTTCTAAAAAGGTTATATGCCTCCCTTTAGCCATTCCACCCTATCTTCAAAGTTAATGTACAAATAATATCTTACTCCTATCACTGAGAAAGGCTGAGGCAGGTGGATCACAAAATTCCAGTCCCACCTGGGCAACTCAGCAAGACCTTGCCTCAAATTAAAAAATAGGGTGGGAGATGCAGCTCAGTGTGAAGGCCCTGAGTTCAATTTCCAGTAACACAAAAACAAACATGATATTTCAGTCTCTTAATGGAAGATTTGGTACATTTTTACATTAGATCAGACTTTTATTTTTTTTTTGGTACCGGGAATTGAACTTGGGTCTTTGTGCTTGTGAGGCAGGCAGTGGAACCACTAAGCTAAATCCTGGGCCCTAGATCAGACTTTTAGTACTGTGATCCTATTAAATGCTATAATGTAAAAATTGGGTAATGAGGAATATTTAAGCCCTATATAATTTAATTCTGACATTAGTGAAATAAAATGTGTCTCACCAAACAGGTAAATGCAGTAAAGCAATTTACTTTTATACCCTGAAAATACTGGTAGAACTCCCAACTTGTTATAGATCCCAACACTCTAAACTTTTTCTTTCATTAAGTTTATTGGTACATTTAAGGTACCATTCATTTGGGATCTTGTACCTTTATATGATGTCTAAACTCTTTTAGATACTGTCACTGCACCTCTGTCTTAAGAGGAATGCAGCCAACAGCAAAGAAATCAATTTTGGGACCATTATTTCAGTACTAACTCTTATCTCTCTTCCATAATTGGCCAGTAGTCAGAAAACCCTTAAAGTTTCTCCTCAAAAGGGCTCCCTACCAGTAGTCTCTACCAACCTACCCCAGCAAGGTGCCAAAATACATAGCAGAGGGCAGTAAAAGCCTGGTTATATAGTGTCCATTCTACAAATTATGAGGCTTAATTTAATTTGAAATTCTTTCCTCACCCCAACCCATTTTTTTAAAGAGAAGATCTTGCTCTGTAATTCAAACTGGCCTTGGACTCACTATTAGCTTAGGCTAGCCTTGAACTCATGGCAATCATAGTTCAGTTTCCTGGTTCCAGGATTATAGGTGTGCACAACTATGCCTAGAATCAACCCAATTTTTGCTTAATCTCTGGATTGTTGGATCCAGATACAGAGTCTCATCTTGGATGCTTTCCTGATTTTGTTTACTTTCTGGCATGATCTTCTGGCCTCCTACTGGGATGCCACAACTATATTTTCTTATTTGACGTGATGAGCCTATGACTATCAAACTTAGTTCTGTGGTCTTTTTTAGAGGAATGTTCTGCAAACCATATTCTATAGTCAGTGTGCAAGACCTTTCACTCCTTGGCCTGGGAGTGAGAAGGTGGGAGTACTGAGTGGTAGTGCACTTGTGAGGCCCTGGCTTCAATCCCTAGAATTACAGGGGGAAAATTTTTCCTCATGGGCTTAGACTACATCTTCTGTGGAGAACAAATAATGAACTAAGGCTGTTGATCAATCTTTTTACTTGAATCTTCCTTTACTTCCCACATACAGTTATTTCCTGAGACAGTCTATTCTCTAAACCTCCACTGCCGTGGACTAATCTATTCATAGTCTTCTTTTCAATTCTATTTTTCTGGTTTGACTTCAGCAGTCAGTGGCAGACCAATTCCAAGTCTCACAGAAAGCCTGAACAGAGACAAAGACCATATATAGAATAGTAGCCCTGAGAATGAGAAAAAATTCCACTGTTCTTTTAGTCAGTTATTTCACTCAAGATGTTTCTTATGCAACATTTTTTACCTTTTGCTTTTTCCTCAGCATTTCCACATGAATTTGAGTTCCTTACATTAGCAGGCTTTCTCACATGTGAATCCTTGTCGTGAGCCGCAACGTCAGAATCCTGCCAGCAGGTCCCAAATCCGAGGGAAGAACAACAGGAGAGCAAACAGTCTCACAGACTTAGTTCCGGGCATGCTCTCTT